CCCGCCTCTGGGCTTCAGCACCTGCCTAACCCTCTCTGCTCCCCCCTGCTCCCACCAGTCTGTTCCTGGGCCCCTCCCCCCTTTCTCCTCCCCACCCCTCGCCACTTGTGGGGCCTGCCCCAGTGACTTCTCAGGCCTCTCTTCCTGCAACACTCCCTCTTCACTAGGTGCTCAAGGCCTGTTCTGGGGTACCTGTTGGAGGAAATGAACATGCCGTATTCCTTCCAAGGGTCTCTTTATTCAAGGCCTTTATTTCAAACTGGCCACAACTTGGCCCAACCCTCTGAGGCTTCCTCCAGCCGAACGCGTTCGGTGCCTGTCCTCTTACAAATAACTGACTACCAATCTTTGGGCACCCCGACGCAAATCAACAGCATTTGCTTTTCTCGTTTAGTTTTTTTCTAACAGAATTTCAGAATAAAAATAGATCTTTATCATATATCTCTATTTATACACACACACATCGAGGCAGAGATCCTTCAACCAAGCGGTGAAGGATCTGGTGTCATCTGCAGTGTCCCTTGCGATGTGGGAAGGCCAGGAGGGGGCAGGCCCTCTCTGGGAGGCACCCGGGGGTGCGCAGTGCTGAGCCAGTGTGGCCGAGGAGGGTGGGTCTCCAACAGCCCCTTCTCCCTGAGGAGCAGACTGGGCAATGATGAGCCAAGGCAGCCCTCATCCAGTCTTTCTGCACACCTTAAGATGAGAGAGACGTACCAGATGGAGCTTTAAAACTAAAACCCAAAGTGCAGATAAAAAGGAATTCCCTGATAAGGCCCCCCACTGGGGGGTGGGGGTGGAATAACTTCTTGGGGAGAATTCCAAGAGCATCATGCAGCAGGGCTAGGGGAACCATCAGGGAAGATATCCACCCACCAGCCCCAGGTCCCCTGCTGACAGGGATCTGCTCTGTCCCCTCCACTGATCTCCAACCACGGTCCCCACTGGGCCTCAGGCAAGGGGGTGGGACCAAATGGCCTGTAGTGGAAATGGGCTGTGGGTGGTGAGAGGTACTGGGGTCAGTCCCAGAGACTGCCCATCTGCATATTATTAGCCCCAGAGGGTCCTGCATTGTACCCATTGCCCAGAAACATAAGGCCTGAAGGAGTATGTTGATGCAAGATCTGAGGTTGATGCAAGGTTCTGCTGCCATGTTTGTATCCTAGGGTCTACAGCCTCGGGCCTAAGGAGGCCGCTTGGGCTGGCGCATAGTTCCAGAAAGATGAGCATGGCAGAAATGAGAGGGGAGTTAGGGCCGGTGCTCAGTGCCCCTGGCCAGGCACCAGAGGCCCCAAAGGCACTTGGCAGCGGAGAGGAAGAGCAATGGGGTCCAATTGGTCTCATGGGGCAAAGAGGGGCATCCTCCAATAGCTCAAACCTGGGAGAGGGACCCAGAGATCCTATCCTTTTCCCACCTGCCAGCAGAATCTTCAAGCCCTGATTGCCCGGGGCAAGACCTGAGAGTTATCCAAAACCCTGTCCTGACACTGGGGCTGAGACCAGGGCCCTGGAGCTTCCCGGGCACAGAGGCACAGATAGAGGTGAAGTTCAGCTGTGAGGCTCCCCCACCCGCGCTCTCAGGGAACAAGTCTGGTCACCAAGACTTTAAGTCACTTGGGGTTCAAGCAGACTGGCTCCCGAGGCACTGAGTTAGGAACTGGGGAAAACCCTCTTGACCTAGACAGAGAGCAGTTTGTGGGGTTCATCTTTGTGGTGTTGGAGAACAGGGAGCTGAAGTCAGGCTAACACCAGTGCAAAGTCACTGGGAAATCCAGGATCGGGGATGTGGAGGGCGGCAGGCACAACATGGGAACTTCTAGACAGTGGGGAGTGGTACCTAGGAGACTCAGACCCTCATTGCACATTGAGATGATGCATGGACACTCTGGGGGAGATGCTCCCACGCTGGTGTGGCTTCCCAGCCACTTCCTTACTCAGAAACGCCACCAGGGCTGAGTCCCAAGAAGCAAGGGATTTGCTTTCGATGCAAATCTGGTCCACCCAGCTCCAGATGAGCAGCTCCCAGACCCAGCGGGCCCTGGAGGTAAAGCAGGGCTGGAGTCGGGGAGGCGAGGAGAACTAGGGCTGCAGCCTGCAGAAGCGTTCCCTAGAGATGTATTTCCCTGAGGCCCCACACCTCCCTGCTGCCTGCCTGCGTCCGCCCCCACTCCCAGGCCCCCTAGGGCGGCTCCCTCCCACCCTGCCCCTGCAGTGCGAGGTCACAGCTCTCTGGGGATGATGGAGAAGGGCAGCACCGGGCTGCTGGCCTCCAGCTCCAGGGCAGTGAGGAAGCAGTCGACGGCAGCCTCGCTGTGGCCCTGGGCCTGCAGCACCTCGCCCAGGCCCTGCCAGGCCTCGTGGCAGGTGCTCTGCCTCTCCACGGCGTCCCGCAGCACCTTCTGGGCCAGACTCTTGTGGCCCAGGCGACTCAGCATCAGACCCTGGGGAGCAAGCATAGGGCGAGGTTAGTGAGGGCGTCCTGGCCATCAGGGCGAAAGGGCTCAGACCGGCAGCCTCGGGAACCGTCAAGTGACTGTTCTTGTTACTCCTGCACATCGTGCCTGGCCCCGCCCTAGCCCCACTTCCAGCCCAGCCTCCCGGGCCCGGATCACCCCCCTCGTGGGAGCTCTGTCCCTCCCAGCCCCGAGGATGGGCTTTCAAGTCAGCAGACCTGGCTTTGTGCCTCCCCATTACAGCTGGGGATCCTGGCCTTCCGTTTCCTCAGCTCTGAGTGGGAAAGACCGCAGTACCCGCTGCTGGGGCTGTCAAGCTGGCGGGAGTCAGTACCTGGCAAGCACTTGAACAGTGTCTGGCCCGTGCGAGCTCCCAGTTAGCGGGTCCGCTACCCTGAGGCCTGGCTGCTGCACCGAGGGGCTACCCCCCGCCCCAGGCGTGTGGAGGAATGAGCGCCCTGGCTTCAGGCTCTACAACCTTAAGCTTATGGGTGGGTGGGGGCAGCTCCTTGGCGGCATCAAGCAGTGGTCTTCCTGGGGACATCTGGGTCCTGGGACCTACTGCCCATCCCAGGCTGGCCTGGCCGGTGAGGGGCACGGGAGGGCGGGTGCTGGGTAGAAGGACGGGCTCTGGTGAGATGGGTCAGGGGTGGCTAAGAAGCTTGGTGTTGCTGTTTGCCTTCAACAGCCCTGCTGGCAGAGACAGGAAGTGACAGGAATCGTCCCGAAAGTTTGGGAAGTGAAACTGGTACAATGTCCCTTCTATGTCCTCTTCCACTCATACTGGGAAGGGTGCAGGGAGGTGGGAGGACAGGGTGGTGAGTGTGTGTGGGGGGGTTACCAGGACCCCCCTTCGGCCTCCAGTCCCAGAAAGGCTGCTTTGCTCCATCCCACTGATCTGTGTTCCAGCCCTCAAATGAGGCACGGGATGGCGGCACGGGTGGGGGGCCTCCTCTCATTCACAGATCTGAGGTAAAGCCTAACGCCAGCTTCCTGGACAGGCGGGGGCTGGGGTGGGGGAGAGGAGCCGCCTTCTGTGTGCCTGGAGCCCCCTCTCGGGTGCCCGCCCACTGATGGCCATGTACATTTTTAGCTGGAACATTTTCCTCCTCACCACGCTCCTCAGTTAGGCCCTCTGTTGCTATGGAGACCCAACGGGGAAGATGCACATGCCTGATTTCATACAGTCCTCTGAGAGCTAGGCAAGAGGGAGAGATGGTGCTCAGGAAGCCCGAGGCAAAGCCTCTCCCTCTCCGGAGGTGCTGACCGGTGGTCCTGTGGCCGCGGGGCAGGAAAGGAAGGGGGGGCTGGATTCACAGTGCCTCTTCAACCCAGGGCGCCACACGGATGGGGTGGAGGACAGGGGAGCTGTGGCGGGGCCGTCCGGGACCAGAGGGCAGTGCCCGGGCTGGCCAGCAGGGCCCCGGGCCAAGCTGTGCTGCCTGCATGGCCTGGGAGCTGGACCCCGAGCAGCTCCCGATGGAACAGGGTCCCCAGGGAGGAGGGAAGGCAGGGGAGACGACAGGCCGCCAGACACCAAAATTAAGCACCAAAAATGGAAGGTTTGTGCCCTGTGAGTGCTGCCCATGAAGGAGCAAGAGAGGACAGATGGGGAAGGCCAGCGGGGCCTCCCAGCTAGGGGGCGGGGCTGCAGTGGGGTTTCCACACTCCGTTTTCTAGATTGAGCTTCCACAGGAGATCTTGTTTGAAAAGAGGGCTCTCCCGCTAAAAAAGAGTTCGAAAACCCCTGCTCTCCAGCAGTGTGTGGGTGTTTGGGAAGGGGCCAGATGTGGCGGAACAGGGTGTGTGTGTGTGTGTGTGTGTGTGTGTGTCTCACGCTCTGCTGGTTTTACTCTCAGGAAGGTTTGCAGCAGGCTCCTCCGCATGTTTCATGTAGAGAAAAAAGCCAGGGCGCTCCACAGCCAGAAGACCTAGGCTGGGCTGGATTCCCAGCTTTACCACTGACAAGTGCACCGACCATGGGCCAGTGGCCCATTTTCTCTGAGCTGTGGTTTCCTCGTCTGTAAACCAGGGAACAGAATGGTACTTCCTGGTAGGCAATTGTGAAGAGTCTGCAAGGATCAATTTGAAATCATGTAGGCAGGGCGCACGGTGGACAAACAGCAAAGGGTTAGGATGAGCAGAGGGTCCTGTCGGAGTGAGGAGCAGGGGGTGATTTCTCTAGAGGGCAAGGCTCTCTGGGGCGAAGACTGGGGACTGGGGTGGGGTTAGCTCACGTCCCCCATACCCTGGGGTGCTGACTCAGAGCCTGAAAGGAGACACCGGACTGGGGTCAGGCTGGGGCCCCGAGGCCCAGGGCCTGTAATAGGATCTGCTGCCACCTGCCTGAGACACCAGTCTGTTCGTGTTTGGTAGCAACTCGGAGCTGTTTGCTGCCTGACGACTGGGCAGGGCCTGCCTCAGGAAGACAGGTCTCACCTGCTCTGCCCCCTGCCTGGCGCTGTGCCAAGGGCCCGCCATCACCCCCCTGGCACCCCCACCTCAGCTGCCCAGAGAATAGGTCTCCAGGGAGATGGTGGGAACACTGTTCTATCCAAATGTCCCCGATGACTCTTCCCCACTCTGGCCAGGGGGCACCCTGAGCCAAGAGAAACCAGACCTGCTGGTGGGTGACTCAGCCTCGGACCCTCACCTGGGAGATGCCATAGCCAGGCGGCTACCCGCAGCTGTTGGAAAGGAATGTGTGAGTTGCTTATGGCCGTTGAGCAATGCACCTTTGAGAGGGGGCCAAGGTTACGACCACTCAGGGAGGGCAGGGCTATGGGGGGAAGGCTTCATCCATTCCTCCTTCCCTCCCTTCCTGGATCTGGCCTCATCTCAACTACCCAAGACCCTGCTCCTCCAGGAAGCCTCCGAGGACAGCACCTCCTGGCCATGACATCACCTTGAGGTTGTGCTTCATTACTGGTGGGCTCTGGCATGCGGCCCATCCTCGGCTGAGAGGGACAGGGTCCGTGGCTCCTGCCTGCTAGGTTATTCCCCACAGGACAGCAGCACAACAGGGCTCAGGTGGGAGGGTCCTGGGTTCTGAGCCAGGGTCACCAGAGGCACTTAGGTGTGCATGCTTACCGACCTGCTTAGGGCCACAGGACAGGCAGCCTGAGGGGCCCTCTGAGGGGGACCCTCCCTGTTGGAAGACAAGGCTCTCTGCTGGGGTACAAAGGCTGCAGCCTGGGATGGGGATGAAGGAGAAGAAAGGTCCCTCCACCCCTTCCTTTTTCAGAATTGCTACTGCACACCATCTCACGTCATTAATTCAGGGCCTGACGCCGTCCTCCAGAGGGGAGGGGCAGCAGAAAGGTCCCGGCTGTGTATGTCTTTTTCTTCTTCTGGAGAGCGGGGAGGCCTGCCCTGGGAAGCAGCCCCTAGCACTGGGCCAGCGGCAGGCCGGGCTGAGAGCTCCCTCCCAGTCCCTACCCTCAAGTATTTATAGAAGTTATTTTGGGAATTTTGTTTCTGAGCTCAAGGCACATTCCTGGGATTCTGTAGCAGCCTTTCCAGCTGGGAAGCAGGGAATCAGCTGGAGGCTGCTGGAGCCTCCTGGTCCCAAGAGCCGTCTGCTTGGGGACCCTGGGGCTGCAGGGAGGAGCCTGGGGTGGGGCCACCTCTGAGGCTGCTCCCTTCACCCACCCTGAGGCTGACACACCCTGCGGGGGAGGCCCTCATTCCAGCCCGAACTCAGGAGCTCAGGAGCTCAGGCCCGCTCGGGGTGCCAGGTTCTCCCAGGTGTTAGCCTCAACCTGTCCAACCAGACTGGGAATGAGGCGTCTCTCCAGGCTGAGGACGGAGCCCGCAGATCACCACATCCCTCCTGGAGCTGGGGCAGCTCCAAGGCCCCAGACCTACCTCCCTTTTGGGAGAAGGGGCACAAATCCTTCTAGACCCCACCCAACACCTGGTCGACAGGCTCTGAGGGGGTCCGCTGAGGGGGCTGACAGCCTCGCTTGGAGCCCAACAAGGTGGGGGCTTCTGGGGCAGCAGAGGTGACCGTGCTCATGTGGCAGAACCCATTCTGCCCTTTGTGCTCCTGCCTACCCCTGCACCCCTCAGGGAGAGGTCGAACGCCAGTGGGTCCCTCGGCTGTGGTGGGAGTTGTGTGTCTTCAGAGGGCCATGGACAGACTCAAAGGTAAACACTGGCTTGAGGAGAAAGCACGTCACCTCCTGGGGGGCTCTGCCTTTTCTCCTCCCACATTCTGGGCTGGTTTCAGGTTCTGGGCCTCTGGAGGCTCTGCCCACTCTTGAGCACAGCTAGGCCCTCAGGGCTAGGTCGGGAACCTGGACTTTGGGTGCTCCAAGTGAACACCTGTGATGGGCAGTGAGAGGGGGCGCCATCGCAGAAGCTCCCCTCTCTGGGCAGGCGGCAGAGCTGAGGGGAGGGGGCTGTTGGCCTACTGGACAAGGGGAAGGCTGGACCCTGCTGCACCCTCCAGACATGGGGAGTCTTTCAGACCATTGATTTTGGAGCTAAATTAAGCCAACAGTGATGGGGGAAACAAAGGCAGAAGAAAAATTATGAAATTTCCTTACCACCTACAGCCCACTGACAAGTCCTTGAAACAGTCAGGGACATTTCTCTAGGGACTCAACTGCCTCGATGTTGACACTTTGCTAAGGGCAAAAGGCAATCCTAGTCAGACCCCTTCCTTCCAGGATGCTGTAAGCCTGCTTTAACATATAAAAATTCCTTTGGAAACTTCCTTTATCTCTGACCCCCAAGATACATGTTGGCAATCATCCCCCAAACATAAGGCCCACCGATATACATCTGAAGGGTCTTACGACTCAGGTTTTATTAGATGGTAATAAATGACCTTTTCCCAAAAATAGCTAGCCCCTCAAGGTCCTGGAAACCTTGCTTCCAAAATTCCTTAGAGACTTGCGCTATTCCAGACCCCCTCCCAACTTGAACGTATATAATGGGCCACTCCTCGTGATCCCAGTGCATCTCTTTCTGCCCACGGTCCT